TCTTTTGACAATTTCCATTCCTTTGTTTCATTCCAAAAAGAGACTTGTCCAGAATTTTTTAGTTGAGCACTACCATTAAATGACTTTTTATGGTTATAAGTTATTTTCTATTTCAATAAAAATGTACTCTTCCTCAAAATTGTGCATAGAATAATCTTCTATGATTGTAGGCTTTATGCCTTGACCATATGTCTTTCATGTTCCAGTAACAGTTAACAGACTGCAGCCACGGTTGCATCTCTCACGTGCTTGTTCTCTTCTTCCCATTTGATATTCCTGTCTTAAGAATTCACATCATGAATTCTAATAAAATGTCTGGCATATAGGTTCTCCCTGAACTGTTATCAATAATTTGTTATTCCTTAAAATAAATATTTTTAAAATGATGAACATTTTCCTAGAGAGTGATAGGGATTGATTTTCTATTAATAAACTTTCATTTTTAACATTGAGGTTTATAATATACACAGATCAAAACTTACTATTCTAATTTGATTCCTGGATTCTCATTGATAATTCTCTTTTATAATAAATAAATTACATTCCCATTCAGGATCAAATCAACTGTTTAAGATATAGTTGCAGTATCTTGTTCAACAGATGTTTGCGAAGGGTTTTAATCTGGGCTTATGTTAGCTAATGTCCCACCTTTCAGTAGTTCTTATTTTTCTGTTTTTCCTTTGTACTTTTCTTTACTAGACAACCTTTTGGGAGGCACACTTACTGAAGATTTATACCTGAGATCATAAAATAAAAAAGTGAATTCTATTTGACAGCAGATTGCTATTATTTATTTAGTATCTGGATGTCACTGTGTCAAAATGAGTTGTACTTGGAACTAGGTCATGTACAGGTCACATGTATGTCACCTATTCTTGTAGTTAGAGAGGTCTGTAATGAATAGGGGATTTTCATGCTTGCCTATCAGTTTTTTGTGTTGAATTTTCGCCGGTTCCGCTGTTTATTTTGGCTGGGGCTGGATTAACTTAAATGTAATTTCAGAGTTTGCTATGTAACTATGTATAACTGGTCCCATGTTTCTGATTTATTGCAGTGATATTTTAGAGAATATCAGGTAATTAGGTAATTCTTGTGAATTACCATATAGACATCTCCCTTTATACTTATTGGCTTTCATACATGAGTTGCTCAATTAATATTTAAAATATAAATTAGTGCTATTATGCTTCTGCATAAACTTTAGAATCACATTTGAAATACTTAAAATCCTATGAGAAACTTTAATTCATTAACTCCATAAATTATTTTAGTTAGAATACATTTCCAAACCATCTATGAATACCTCATTGAGTTCGAAAATCATCAAGTATAAAAGAAAAGAAAAATTCAGTTAAGGTTTTCTGGTGTTTATCACACAAAACACGTAACTTTAACTTCACTTATAGATATTTAATATATTTGATAACATGATGACATATTTCTTTATATTCTGTATCTATTAAGAGGTTACTATTTATATATTAAAGTCTTATTGATTACTGAACATCTATCATTTATTTTCATTCAGCTCCAATAATTTTCACACAGTGTTAAGTTTAAGAGAATAATCTTTTTGTCCATAAAAGTGAACTAGTAGAACTTGAGTCCCAGTTCAGCAATAACCTAAGTTGCATTATTCTCAAATGTGTAAAAGGTTTTTAATAGAAAAAGGGAAAAATCTTCAGATAAAATATTAAATTTCCTCTAGGGTAGGTTGTTTGCTTTCATGTTCTGTTGAAGTGATGTCTTTTGATGGCTTAGCTAAATTATGGGCTTTGGAGTTAGAAAAGCCTAGAATTAAATCCTTGCTCTCCCACTTCCTAGCATGTGACTTTAGGCACATAACCTCCAAAATTTTCATTTTCCTTAGTTGTAAAGTGGGTCCCAAAATAAGTACTTCACAGGGTTGATACAAATATTAAAGCTACCTAATACATTTCTGCTGTGTCTGACACCAAGCCACAAATTTTCATGTTGAAAACATTTAAACTGATAGCATAGAACTCATTTGCGGCTTGCTATGATCTGAATGTTTGTATCCCCCGACCCCCCAAACTTCACACACTGAAATCTTACTTAACCCCTAAGGAAATGATACTGGAAGTGAGGCCTTTGGGGGGTGACTGGGTCAAGAGGGCTTTTTTGCCAGTGGAATTAGATATCTCATAAAAGAGGCCCAAAGAAGCTCATTCACCTTCTACAATGTGAGAGCACAGCAAGAAGGTGGTGTTGTGTGAACAGGGAAGTGGCCTCACCACACAGCAAATCTGTCAGCCCCTTGACCTTGGACTTCCCAGCCTCCCGAACTATAAGAAGTACATTTCTGTTGTTTACAGGCTGCTCAATTTATGACACTTTTTACTAGAAGCTTGAATGGACTAAGGCACGAATTATTCTCTCTTTGGAGGTTAGTCTTAGTGAAATCTTCTAAAGCCTTTTCCCTCTCTGAAAAAGCTTCAGATAAAATAGGGAGTGAAAAAGGATACCCACAAACCGGAGTAAGGTTGAAAGAGTGAGACAAAGACGCAAAGTACAAAATTGCAAATTCCGGGGCCTCACCCATAGATTTAGTGCATAAGATGGGGAACTCAGAAATGTGCGTTTCTAAAAAGCACCTCAAGTAATTCTGGTACACACTAAAGTTCAGAATCTTTTAAGTGGAAGACATAAATGTTCATGTAGTAAAAAAAATTTTTTTAAAAGAGAAAGAAAGATATTAATGCATTCTTTTATGAACTATTATGGTAAAAATAAAAAAAGTTCTCCAGTGCAAGTTGAGGAAAGTTTCCTAAGTGAAGGAATGAATTTGAAACATGAGCATGCATAAAGAAAAAAAGATAGGCTGATACAATGTGGAGGGTGCCCGGTACAGGTTTACTACTTTAGAAACTGATCAAAAGGGCCTTCACCCAAACACAAAGTCTTTGGCAACATCCTCCATTATGCTTGAACCACGTTAAACCTCCTTGGGGTATTATTTACCAAAACCTTGAAATGACAAGATTTGCTGGTTGTGCGAGGATTTGAGGGAAGAACTTCCAGAGGAGAATCAACTACTGGTTCAAAGGCCCGAAGCAGGACTGAGCTTTGCTGGTTCAAGGAGCTCTAATGTGGTTCAGCCATAATGGAGGATGTTCCCAAAGACTGTGTTTGGATAAGGAGTTTGGATTTTGTTCTCAGAGCTAAAGAAAGCAATGGAATTGCCGTAATTTAATCTGCCTTTAAAAATCATACTGTTCAGAGTGGAAAATATTGGAGGTAATGGCCGGGGAGAAAAAGAATTTTTAAAAAAGACCAGGAGGAGGCTATCAAGGTAGTTCTGGTGAGATCTTTGTTGAACTGGTGTGGGTTGAGGTCATAGTTGAGATGGAGAGAGATGCCCGGATTTGGGATATAACTTGGAGGTGCAATCACAGATGTGCCTGTGGTGTGTGAGCCTGAAAATTAGGGGTATGGGGTTCTGGTAGGGTAGAGGCAGGAGGTGGATGGAGGATTGATTGATAAGGAGAATCAAATTAATTGCCCATAAAACACCTGATCTTGAAAAAAGTTAAATTAGAAAATATTTTGCCAAATGCTAGTGAAGGCATATGTGTAAATTAAAAAGAAAAGCAGAGGGCAGCACCTGTGGCTCAGTGAGTAGGGCGCCAGCCCCATATACCGAGGGTGGTGGGTTCAAACCCAGCCCCGGACAAACTGCAAAAAAAATAGCTGAATGTTGTGGCAGGTGCCTGTAGTCCCAGCTACTCTGGAGGCTGAGGCAAGAGAATCACCTAAGCCCAGGAGTTGGAGGTTGCTGTGAGCTGTGTGATGCTGCCACGGCACTCTACTGAGAGCGATAAAGTGAGATTCTGTCTCTTAAAAAAAAAAAAAAGTAAAAGAAAAAGAAAAGCAGAGCAGGCAAAGGAACAGATTCTCTAAGTACTGGTATTGCTAATGTATTTGCCCTTGTCTTGGTTAAACTGCATGAGGTTGACCTTATTGGTTGATCTAGTCATGGCAAAGGAACCTCTCATGATCCTGCACGTGTAGTAGCATCATCCCTTATTTTGAAAGAAAGGAGGAAGAGAAGCAAAAATGAAATGTGAAGTTTTGAGAGCAATTGCTTCATGCTGATTTCTCCATACACAAAGCCTTACAGCGTGTTGTAGAGGAGGAAATCACAGCTCCTCAGACGTCAGGTGCTGTGGAACATGGGTCTTGCAGATAAGCCCTGTGTCTGACTGTGCAGTTTAGCACCATTCTCAAGCTCTGTCTAACTTCTGAATTCCAGAGTCTGGAAGTCCAAATACGGGTCTTCCCAAATTATTATTGTCTCCAACTCCCCTTAACAATTTTGAGCGTGTGTATCCAGCATTATACTGATAAAGCTTAACAACCTCTTATCAAAGTGTAGTTTCGCCCTGACCATTGGGTGGCACTTTTCTTTGTGTTAATGAATGAGTTGAAAAGGTGAAACTACTGGAATGTCACAACTTTACTTATTCATCAGGGATATGAGAAAGTTCTTCGCTGACTCAGTTTTTCAATACTGGAAGGATATTTTCTTATTTTTTTGTGCAGTTCATAAGCACAGACACGGCATACTTTTAAGTTTAATCTGTACTGTACAGAAGCCATCTTTACTCAGGGTATCCTAGTTGAAAGTTGGCTTAATAGGGATGGTGGAATTTAAACTACTCTTAATAAATAAAAGTTGAGGCGGCAGTAACTTTTGTGAATGGAGAAACATTATGAGTTGTTAATGTGATTTTTCTTGAAGTAGTACTTTTTTTTTCCTTCCTCCCCCCTTTTTTTAAATTAAATCATAGCTGTGTACATTAATGCAGTCATGGGGTACAATGTGCTGGTTGTAGGTACAATTTGAAGTATTTTCATCAAACTGGTTGATGTAGTTGAAAAGTAGTCCTTTTCATAGTATATAATCTCGTAGATGTTATAGGTGACAAATTAAAAAAAGGTATTCTCCAGATACATTGATTTTTGTCTCTTTTCCTTAGGGTTTTTCAGGAAATGCGAATGCAGACAGTGTGGTGTACTACAGACTCCAGCCTTCTATCAAAGCCAGATTTCTACGCTTCATCCCTTTAGAATGGAACCCCAAGGGCAGAATCGGAATGCGTATGGAGGTGTTTGGATGTGCATATAGTAAGTGTTTGTTTATCCGACACACTGACAGATATCAAAGGAGATGTTTTAAAAGCCAAACTGCAAACTGAAATGGACTTTTTAGCCATGTAAAGAGATAAAAGAGCAAGAATGATTTTTGCAAAAAGCTTTTATTTGGTGCCTATATATGCCCATGTTGACTTCAGTGTTTAACATTTTAATTCAGAGAAGGAAGCACTTTAGAGGTTGTTAGATACAGAGGTAGATACATATTTATAGATCTATGTTAATGCATCTACTCAAGTCTAATATTATTGACTGCATCCTAACTTTAAATACTAGAGCTTTCACCCCGTGGGTTTCATTTAATGATGCTTCATTTAGGAACCTTGAATTTAGTAAAAGAGACAGTGTTCCATTTAGTCTAACCAGTCACCTGTTATGAAACCAAAACAAAAATTTTCTCTCTAGCCTAAAAATAATATGCCATGTAATTCACTTTTAAACATGCTGTGCTCTCAGCATAAATTAATAGAAAAGGTAAAGACCTCTGCTAGAATATAAAATGTATTTGAAATACTTTCATATAAAGAGATAGAAACCACAGGTTTCACTTAGTCTCCCCTTAATGAAGCATTTTATTACATGTTATTGTGGGGAAGGGACCCAAGAGTTATAGATAGTCTACCTCAAGCCACATCATCCTGTTAGATATTCTTTTATTTTGTTATGGAATAAAGACTTAGTTAATCTGATCTACAATTATCATTTGAACAGTCTAAGGTTTGGAGAGATTGAGCAGTCTGCCCTGGGCCTCATGGCGATTATATGGAAAAATCTGAAAAGGAATCAGTACCGTGCAATTTCAGTATACCACTTTTCCTCTAGTAAACATTTATTTTTTTTACCACTAGAGCTTTTGTTCACACTTAGTATATTACTTTGTGATGAAGCCCAGTTAGGTTCTGGTAAGTGTCATAAAGAGGTCAAGTGTCTTGTTGGAGTTGTCTAGACAGTGTCAGACAGAATGACCATGTTGTGCCGTTTGTAAGGGTCTCCTTGTATGTTTAGTGGAGTTCCCAGTACCCATCTCTATCACTGAACATAATCAAAAAACCTGTTCCCTCTAGGCCTATAGAGTAATACTGAAAATAAGACACTGTCTTATTTTTTCTCAAGAAGACACACTAGGGCTTATTTTTAGGGGATGTCTTCCTCTCCGCACCAAAATGCATGGCCACGCCCATCACTAGGTCTTATTACTGGGGGAGGGCTTATATTTAACAAATGCATAGAAATCCTGCTAGGGCTTATTTTTGGGGTAGGTCTTGTTTTCAGGGAAACACGGTAATAGTATTAATATGTTAATAGCAATAGCATTAATATTAATAGCCTTAATTTCTATAACTTTAGAAATAGCAAATTTTGCTTATGTGCTTATCATATATACTATACTAAACAGTTTATGATTCCTCAAAATACCCCAGATAAATATTATTAGGTAACTACTTCATTTCCCTGCTTTGTAAATGAGAAAGCTAGAGCTTATAGAGGTTGACTTGCTGAAGCCACACAGGTAGGAAGCGGCAGAGCTGAGTTTGCAGCCAGGTCTGCTGAGCTGCAGACTCCAGCTCAGGCCCACGCTCCCTCCAGCTGTTGGATGGCAGGGTCACTGGGCAGCTTACTTCTCACCGTCTGCCTGGCTAACTGCTGGCCTTCTTGGCCTCAGTGATCGAGCTTAGCTATTCCGTGTTAGCTGCTTGCTTTACCCTATCTCATTTCACTAAAATCATTGTTTAAAGAAAAATTCTATGAACCTGGACAGTCAATCTTATTTGTGCTTGGATCAAAGAGTTTAGGAAAACTCAGGCCACATGATGGACGATTAGAAAAAAAAGATTTTAAAATGCTTCCTACTTATAGTTCCATTCTCTACTTATTTAGAGCATCCACCTCGCAAATTATTCATCACAGCCTATTAATAACTAACAATCATAGTGTGTGTGCTATGTATCACATATGATATTTTGCAGACATAGTCTAATTCTCAAAACTACACATTTATTAGAGAGGAAGCTGGATCTTAGAAAAATTAAACTAGCCCACTACCAGGCATTTAGTATGCATTCAATATGGGGTGTGAACTCAACATCAGTTTAATGAGACTACTGATGTTTTGCTGAAACAATAGCACCACTGACAGTATCCGTTTGGTGGGACTGCTATGGTACTGGTTCCTTTGAGTGCTCTTCTGCCGTGTGACAACTCAGATGTCCGCTACTTTTCTTGATCTGAGACTCTGTGCTGTGACATCTTTTGCTATCTTTGGGGTGAGCACACTGTCCACATACGTAGTCAGTCTTCTCTTTTCATATGGACTCATAATTGGAGTAGCTATACTGAAAACTAAAATTATCTTAAACATATAATAAAATGGTATGACTGGAATCAATGTAAAATGATCGAGGGATTATTTTAAATTACTATTAAAAGAGAAAAGGAATAAACTTAATGGAAAAATATTCTCTTAGATAACCAGAATATATCATAAGGATGGTTTGGGCATGAGTACCCTGGGAGAGTGTATTTGTTTTAATCCCTCAAATACCCCAAGTCATACATTCTCCACTTATTCATAGCATCTGCCTTGCAAAATAGTAATTTATTAAAGCATAATTCCATACAGCCATCACTTATTGAACAGAGACTGTAGAGAATGGGCATTTTCTGATTTAGTCCTGAAAGTACAGTGAAGACATTCCATGCTAATACTGTTGTATGCAGGAGTCAGAGGGTACGAGTGGAACTGTCTGCCAAATGAGCCATATGGCTTGCTCTAGGTTGCCCAGCATGGAAATACATGGGACCACTGGCTCCCCAACCTCCACAGGAAGGGCTGCAGTTGCTACCAGCACAAGCATCAGCTGCAAGAGGGATTGTGGGTGGGTGGGTGTCAGGCTCTCTTCCCTGGATTGCAGCCACAGGGCATCCAGGTCTAGTGACATTGACCTCTCCTGAGCCCGAGGAAGGCCTGGGGGATTGAACGCAACCCGCCACCTCTCCTATGTGTGCCTTTATACCTGAACCAGGTTCACGTGACTCTGGGGTGGGCTTTGCCTGAACCATTGACACAGGTGGTGCATGTCAGAACTATGCTCTGAATCTCCTGACACGGAAGAAAGTGGACTGCAGAGAAATGAAGAACTTTACCCGGGTTGTACAGCCTGTGTTAGATCTGTTAATAGGATTTAAAATCAGATCCATCACCTTTTAGAGCCGGTGTTCTTGACAACTACTGAATCATGCATGTATTCACCTTTTAAGTATTTATTGGCACTTGCTAAAAGAGAACTCCAGTGGGTATTGGTTATAGGGAGAAATTCTGAAATAATACATTTTTTAAATAAAGATAGGTGTGGGCAAAACTGTACGAACTAAATGCAAAATATTGCAGTGATAGTATAGAGTGTGAGGGATAAAGTGATTAATAAATCGAGATCGGTATAAGAAAGTTTGCAACAGTAGGTTTTGAAACTGACAGGCAGATATGTCACGTGGGAAGCTGAGAGGATAGTCTGGAGAGAAGTGAACCGCAGTCAAGCACAAGGAAGGGGACAGGTAGAATGGTTGTTTGAGTTGGTCATTCAGACTGAAGTGAGAGCCGTAGGTTGGAGAGTTACATCTGGAAACAGCAGCTCATTAGGACGTTTGCTCTTGTCTATGGAAGTGGCAGCAGAACCCCAAACTACAGAACAGCTCTCGGTAAAGCAAGGTAGGCCGATTCGAATTATTCTACACATACTGCATCAAAAGATCTCTCACTATTTCTGATGTTTGAACAACCATCTGGAAGGAGGTATCCTTTACTGGGAATCAATAAATTCCAGAAGGGAACAAAGATATGATTAATCCCATTGTTGACTCACAGAGTTCAAGTGCCTTCGAAATATGGAAGTGGGAACTCCAAGCCCTCTGGGTTGAAGATATAGAATTAAAACTTATGTAAGTATCATTATTATTAGTGAATCATGAATTGTTCCTCTTATTGTACCACTGTAAATTATAAAAGTATGAAGTGAGGTACCAGGGAAAGGGGAGGAGAGAGGGATGGGGGGGTCATGGTGTATAGCACACCTGTTGGTGGCAGGACACAAACACAAGAGGGTCTTTATTTAACAAATGCAATCAGGGTAACCAAATTCTTTCTGCCCTCAATGAATCCCAGACAATAAAAAAAAAAGTATCAGGTGCTGTGTATAAACAACTATTCACATCTTGAAAAATGGGAATTCATTTTTACCATTATAAAAGCAGGTCTCTTATTCTATTTTTTAAGTATAAACATTTTTATGCCAGGCCCCCCTCATGCCTAATACATGTGTTTACTAAAGTTATAGATGCAAGCCAGTCTCCTGATTATTGCAAAAAAAAAAAATTAGCTATTGTGAGAACCACACGTAATTTTATTGCCGTCTACCCCTGCGAGTTAGAGCAATAACTTGTTATGAAGGAACATCAAGTGAATGGAAAATCCATATCAAAATGCATGTTCTACTTTTATGTCAGTAAACTTGAAGGTCTTCCCTGAGTAATGAGAGAAATAGAAGCTAAATTTTATGGGATCAAAGAGAAAGTATAAATTTCAGATATCTTGGCCATAGCAGCTGTGAACATGTTTATAAATCTAGAGAAGAGATGTCCGGAAAGAAATAACTGGTAGAAGGAAGAAAGGAAAAGAAAATGTTTGATGATAAGGAAATACTACTTGACTGAATGTCTCGAAGAGAAGTAAACAAAGGTAGGGAAGGAAGTAACCGGGTGAAAGGGAACGTACCAAGAAGCCCTTAGGAAGTGGCAGTTACACCAGGGGAGGTGTTCTTTAATTGCTGATAAATTGCTGAGGCAGTTGCCCTTAGTATAACCACTAAATTCCTTTTCTCTAATTCCTGTATAAATACTCTGACTTTGCGATCCGTGATCTTCTCTTCCTCGTCCCCAGCAGAATAAGAAGAACATCCAACTGTCAAGCCAAACTGAAC